ACTTTTAACTTTACTAGCAATGCTGCTTATTCTCATATTCTACGGTTCGCAGCCCACTTTGTACTATTTCTACGTGATATTATGCATCCAACACCGGATAAAGAATCAGATGATTTGATTAAGACTTACACCGAACTATTAATTGATTTTAAGCAGGTTTTATAGTCTCTTTAATTTCGTTTTCAATAAGCTATCGCACGAAACTTAGTAAATTGATATCTAATATACAGGATTCCATGTCCCTATATAATAAATGTTATTTTAGTGAAGGTAGCTTTTAAAGCGATGTCATTATTCATGAAGTTGAGTTATCATACAATATTATGCCCGATAGCAACACCAGCTGCAGTCGAAGCCGTCTAATGATCAAACAAAAAATAAAATATATATTAAAATTTATAAAATGTTAATAGATTTCATGTCATTTTTTGAGAATAATACCTGTCCTAACAAACTAGGTTGTTTTACAGCAGGAGTGTTACCCGCTGCTGGAGAAACTGCTGGAACATTGCTTGCTTGTGAGTTAGACTGAGATTTTGTTTGAGAAGCCGGGCTTGGCGTTGAACGAATAGGTAACGTAGAAGCTTGACGCTTTTGACTTGGTGCCCTAGCTGGGGTTGAACGGCTTGCTTTGCGAGGCATTAGTTGAAAATAGAAAAATTAACGTTAAAAGGATAGTCAAAAATTTTTGATTTAATTATAATTTGATTTATCGCTATCCTGATCGACCAATCAGGGTGCAGGATCAGGTGTAACGTGATAATCGATTTTTTTTTTTTAAAATCAAAATTTGCCTTTTTCGTTTTCGTTCTAAAACAAGGCTACTAACCAATAAGATGCATTAATTTCAACATCATCCGCGACAAAGATTAGGGTGCTGTAAATTATCGGTCTAATTTCAAGATAAGACCCTAGCATCACCACCCTAAAATAATTTCGTTACCAACTTAGTGTTAGAGTTTGAAGTTAGAGTTTGGAACCGGTTTTAGTCGGTTGTAAGATAAGGATTTTACTAAAACGCACCTATGGTGTTTTACACCTATGTATACATTATCTCAAAAACTGGCTAATTAATTGTT